ATACGACCCAATTCTCATTATTAATTAAAAGACCATGAAGAATGACAAATGAAACAGGCTAATCTATCTGAACACTGGTTCAACCGAAAAATGAGGAGAAATAAACTCAAGCCCTAAATTGATTGCTCAAGAGGAAGTATTAGTCAAGAGGAAAAGATTAACGAAGGAGAACGAGGAAAACTTACTTAGTCTTGAGCACTTGACTGACTATGGGGTGAACTCCGACCGGTCATTTGTTTGAATCCTCCGGGATTCTTGACGCGTAACATCCCTAATCGTGTGTTTTCCAAAAGAACGCACATGATTAGGGAAGTTATGGTCGAAAATCCCCAAGATTTCCTAATTTAGGGTTCTGCCGGATTTTGATCGGATATTTGGGCAATTCTGGTCATATTTGAGACACGTGGCTATGGGGGTTGGATAGAGGAGGTCAAGGCGGTCCCATGGTGTTAATTTGGGACCGTTTGGCATAACCGGCGACTTGGCCGGAAAACTTCGAACGGATATTTGACGAGTTCTGGTAAGATTTGGGGACAACGGACAGTGGATTCAGGTAAAGGAAGGGAAGGGGAATCTGGGGTGTAATTTTGGTGGTCATCGGAGCATCGCCGCCGGCGGCGACGATTTCTGGCCGGCGGCGGACGGCGGAGGGACGGTGGGGCTAAGGCGGTGTAGAGTGGAGGTCGGCGGAGCTTAGGTTTGGTACGAGGAAGGCAAGCTTTGTCTCAAAATTTTCTAAATGATTCGGACAATTTTATGTAAAATTGGGATTAAGCTTGAACCGTTGGATATGGGGAAATGAACGGTGGTGATCAAACGACGTCAAAACGACGTCGTTTTGTCATGAAAGGGACTGGACCGGGCTAGGGGTTAGATTGGGCCTGGGCATGGGGTGATTTTGGTCCGGTTTTTCTTGGTTTGTTTGGGCTGGCTTGCTCATTTCAGAGCTGGCCCAACAAATTAAACCTATTTTCTTTTCTTTTCTTCTTTTTTATTGTTTATTTATTCTATTTATTTTCTTTTCAAAATTAACAAAATCTAAGTTAAATCCCAAACTAATTAATTTCCAAAAAGGAACTAAATCCTAATTTTAAAAGAAAAATTAAACAAAAGTGAAATTAAAAGAACAAAAAATGTAAAAGATTTATTGTTATTTTTGGTATTTTTCTCTTATTTTAGTAATATTAATTGATTAAAATATAAAATCTAGTTCTAAATGTAAACGTACTATTTTTGTACTTTTTATGAATTATAGCAAGTTAAAATGCACACGAAAAATGCAAACGAGACACAAAATCATGCAATTAATTCCTAAAAATTCAAATAATAAAAGAAAAAATTCTAATTCTAATGAATTTATAGGAGTAAATTAAGCGTGGCAAAAATCACGTGCTCACAGCTGCCCCTCTTTGCTTGAAGACACGAAGGGTTTTCGGGCAAAGATAAATGAGCACCATGAAGGATTTTTGCCTGCCTAGCACTCCATGAGAAGCATTTTGAAAACCGTGTGACCGAACCCTGCTTCAAAGGTTGCCTACATATCCTTGGCTATAAAGGAATCAGGTCAGTGTAGTTCTGGAAAGTTTGGTAGCTGGGACTACCGGGAGGTGTGAATTTCACTGTTGTTGCTGCTGCTACTGCTTGCTGACCTCCTTATTACACCAAGAGAAAATCAAAAGCTAAGCTAGCTAGACCTATCAACTATGAGTTACAAGATTCCTATCTATAGTTTCTTGAGACTTGATCTTGAGTCTAAGCTGATTTTGATGTGGACTTCGATCTGAATCTTGATGCTCACAAGCTGCAGGTGTTTACTTCTTCATGCAGCATTGGGTCAAAACAGGGCCAACGGAGCTTGTGACTTCAACTTTGAGCAATCTGCGCCCTTACTTGCTTCACATTTTGAGTTCATCTTTCTTGTTTTTTTCTTCTTTTTTTTTTTTTTTTTTTTTTTTACTTTCTTTTCTTTGTATTCTTAGATTTGTAGATTTATTTCCGTTGGTTCATCCTACCACCTTCGTTGTCTTGTAGGTTGGTACCTGCTTAGGATACCAAACAAANTTATTTTAGTAATATTAATTGATTAAAATATAAAATCTAGTTCTAAATGTAAACGTACTATTTTTGTACTTTTTATGAATTATAGCAAGTTAAAATGCACACGAAAAATGCAAACGAGACACAAAATCATGCAATTAATTCCTAAAAATTCAAATAATAAAAGAAAAAATTCTAATTCTAATGAATTTATAGGAGTAAATTAAGCGTGGCAAAAATCACGTGCTCACAGTACTTACCTCGAACAAGCCAAATCCAATACTGAGCAAGCCAAATAATGCTCCAAAAATGCCATCTCACGCGTACTGATCTCTGAGCTCGAAACTAGCCAAAAGAAACTCAAATACATCAAACAATGCATAAGGAAATAATTCCAAATGATAAAGGTCGAATCTTTAATCAAAATTCCAAAGTCAACCAAAAATTCAAATCCGGGCCCACACCTTGGAACCCGACAAAACTTACAAATCCAACAACCCATTCGATTACGAGTCCAACCATACTGGTTTCACTCAAGTCCGACTCCGAATCGATGTTCAAAACTCAAAAATTCACTCTATGAAATTTTAGACAAAATCCCCCAATTTCTCTCTTGAAATCCTCAATTAAATGCCAAAAATGAAGATAGATTCATAAAATAAAATCGAAACCGAGTAGAGAACACTTACTCCAATTCATGTGATGAAAATCGCCTAAAAAATCGCTAAATCCCAATGTCCCCATAATTATTTTAAAACGATTTTAAAATAATATGATAACAGTTAAACATTAAGCATGTTTGATTGTTTGTTTCAAGTAGGATAATTAAGTCAGAGTGGTTTTGGTATTTTTTTTTTTTTACAAATTGTGAAGTATAAATTAAGTTTCATGGTTTTGAAAAAAAAAATCTCCAAATATATGTTGCGATAAAAGATAACCAAACACAATTTCATCTTCAAATAAAATTTCAGCGAAATTTCAAATTTGAATTTTTTTTGGAATTTATGTCCTGTCTGCCTAATTTCTTAAACTAAAAATAGCCGACGAATGTGTGTACTATGCTTTCTGAATGCAACCTGGTGGGAAATCCTAAAGAATGGTGGATTGATTCTGGAGTCACTCGCCATGTTTGTGCTGTTATAGAAATGTTTGCTACATATGCTCCCATTGGGACCGAAAAGATGCTTTCTATGGGAAATTCTGCAACGGCCATGATTAAAGGATGTTGCAAGATATTTCTAAAAATAACTTTTGGCAAGGTGGTGACTCTGAACAACGTCCTTCATATTCCTGAAATTAGGAAGAACTTAGTGATCTACTGCACTTCTCGTCAAGAACGGGTTTAAGTGTGTTTTTGTATTTGATAAGGTTGTAATAAATAAGAACGAAATATTTGTAGGAAAAGGTTACCTCACTAAGGGCCTTTTCAAACTGAATGTAATGGTCGTTGAGAATAATAAAATTTCAACTCTTACTTACTTGAGTCAAATGGTTTATGGCATATACATGTGGGACATGTCAATTATAAAATCTTGCAAAAAATGAATAATTTGGAAATATTGCCTAAATTCGAATGTGACAAACCATAATGTAAAATATGTGTGGAATCTAAGTATGTTAAACATCCTTATAAGTTAGTTAAAAGGAATTCAAATCTTTTAGACTTACTTCACACGGATATTTGCGACCTGAAGTCAATACCATCTCGCGGTAGAAAAAATTATTTTATATTAACTCATAATGGCCGTTTTTACGCGAATAGTCATAACAATCATTCTGAAGAATTGCACCTCTTCGTTTAAACCCAACCTGTTGGTTATAAATAGTAGACCATTCCCTCAGATTTTCCTTACGAAAATTCTGAAATCCTTTTTGTTATGCATTGTTTTAACTACAAAGAAAGCAGCAGTAAGTGTGATTTCGTACCGATCATTGTGTTCGCTGAAACACTTAGTTTGAAGTACCGCTATACCAGTGTGTAATCTATTCTATCCTGGGAGGAAATAATCCACAATCTTGGGTACTAGGATGGGATTAAGTTCCTTAAGGAAACACTAAGAATTCAGCGGGCTTGGATTAAATTCTGTTTCTTCTATATTTCTTTTTTTTTTTACGTTATTTTATTTACAGAATTACTTTGCAAATACAGAAAACTAACAGATAGCTTCTTCTTCTTTTTATTTTTTCAAAAAAAGGAACTTAACAGATGCGAATTACATTAATTTACTTATATCATAAGGTGAAATGGATAATGTATGAACTTAATCATATATACCAGAAAGCAGGTGTGCAAGCCAATGAGTTTAATTCTTGAAGCAAATATTTGAGTAAGGTAAAAAGCTATCTAATAACTGCATATATACAAGATATGCAGATTGCTTTTTTTATAGAATAAATTTTAACAGATGCGAATTACATATACCATCAGTTGCAAATTATATGATGCAAATGTACGTCACTCTATTTTTTTCACCGGAGAAATCCGACAAAGCAAAAAAAAATATGTATATATAATTAAAAGAACACTGTAGCTATCATATTGAATGCTAGGAATTTAAATACCATTTAATTAATTAAAGCATTATAATAGTACATAAAAATCCACTTGCCGAAAATGAAAAAGAGTTCACCAAAAACACTAATACGATTACACAACTTAAAACAACAATGATTGATGCCCAATTTTGTCCTACTTTTCCTTCAATTATGTTTCTCGATCTTTAATACCTTGGACAAGCTATTTTATACATTTCTTGATTTTCAATAATTTTGCTTAAATCAATGCTATATTAATATTATCGAATATATAATATTAGATTTTTATATGTTTAAAGTGTTAAATTTTAGTCGTAAGTTATTAATATAAAGAAGCCCAAAAAATTAATTTAAAGAAGGAAAAAGCCAACCTAACAGCCCATCAGTAGCCCATTTATTTTGATAAGGACCCAATTATTTAGCAGCCCAAAACAATACCCATAGCTAAACCACCATTCAAACACTTACCATCATTCTAGGGTTTCATGCCACCTCCCCTTTCCCCATTTTGAGCAAAGTTCCAAATCTTTTTCACCTCAGGTCAGAATTGTTAAACCATTTTCGTGCAACTTTTGCATCGATGTTAGAAATCAAAGAGGCAGAGACTGCAATTATCAATATTCACATGGGTAAAACAACTCTTTTCTTTCTTCTTCTGTCGATTTTTCGTCTCTCGCGCTGAATATTTAGTTGAGAAAGAGAAACTTTTGCCTTTAACCATATGAAAATTCAAAATCTTCAAATCTGAAAAGTGATGATTGCTTTCGGATCTCTTCTGCTACATTTTGGACCATTCTTTAACGGTCATTTTGAAAATCAAAATCCTTCTTTGAAATTTAAATCCCGCCCAAATGATCGAATCTTAACCCTAAGTTCTATCTATAAATACAATACATTCTTGCTTCAGCCGAAATCGTCGGGGAATTTCCTCTAAGGTAGGATCTTGAATCTTTGAAATCCCGAAAAATTCAGTTTAGATCATACTCCGCTTTTCTTTTAATCTATGTAGTTTGAAGCTTCAAATATATTTTTCTATTTGGTTATCACCATTCCAACCTCTAGAGCTTAAGTTATACTTACAGTTTAATGCATCTTTTCTTTAATGGATCTTAAGGAATGGTGTACACCTTTTCTTTAAGATTAATTCAATCCTTATCTTAGAATTTTTGAAGTTTAGTAGACCATACACTAGATAATTTATGTGCCCTAACTCACTTTTTAATATAGTTAGGTGGCGACTCTTTAGTTAATAATTAATTCAAAAATTACTAATATATTGTACTCTAATTTGACATGTGTTAAAATGGGGTAAACACTCACACTTATCTCTTGCTTTCTTATTAGAAAAAATGCACTCTCTTATTGATAGCTGCTTGGTAGAAACTGAAAGGCAACCACAATAACAATCTGATGTTAACCCCCTGTGGCTTTTGACTCTTATTTTTATTCTTGTTCCGATTGCTTATTACGCTTTACTGAATGCAGCAGTTCTTTTGAAAATTTAGAGTAGGTAATTTTTAGCTCAGAGGTTTTGTTTGTGTTAATTGTAGGAGCAGAGGCCTATGGGAAAATGCGCTATCAGTTTCCATATCTCAACAAAGTTATGTTACTACATGCTGCTATAACTTAGATTCTACTATATTCAAATTCATAGCACGGTCAAATACACAAACAAGCAAGTCGATCTCTATGGTTAGTAGCAGAATTGCAGATGTATGTTCATCTTTATAGTTTTTTTTTCATTTGAAAATTCATATTGTGCTGTATATTTTTATATAATAAAGTGTGGTCTGTTTACAAATATTTCATTAGTCACATTTATTTTTTGCTTTTTTATTGAAAAAAATGCTTTCTCTCACTAAGCTGTTTGGAAAAAACTGAAATGCACCAGCAACTGCACCACCATTCTGACCAAAACCTTTTTTGGTTACTATTTTTTCTTGCACTTGTTTCCGTTGCTTATTATATTTTACTTAATGCAGCAGTTCAATTATATATCAAGGGGTAATGTGGGTTCAGAGATCTTATTTGTGTTGACAGTGATCTTATCACGTGAGAGGCAAATCATAGCCCCAATAGAAGTTGCCAAAGTCACAGCAGCATGGATTAACATACTTTGTATGTGGAAACTATGAGCGCGTTGTCACAAAGGCCTCCTCGCCCACAGTCAACACAAATAAGATCACTCACATTTACCCCCTTGATATTTAAATGAACTGTTGCATTAAGTAAAACATAGTAAGCAACGGGAACAAGTGCAAGAAGAAATAGTAACCAAAGAGGGTTTTGGTCAGATTGGTGGTGCAGTTGCATTTCAGTTTTTTCCAAACAATTGTGAATGAGAGAACACATTTTTTCAGTGAGAAAGCAAGAAATAAATGTGAGTCAATATTTGTAAACAGACCACACTTTGTTATATAAAAATATAAAGTACAGTACATACAATCTGAATTTTCAAATAAGTAAAACCTATAAAGCTGAAAGTATCTCTGCAGTTCTGCTACTAACCTTAGAGATCGTCTTCCTTGTTTGTGTATTTGATCGTCCTTTGCTTTATTTTAGACCCTCTGCCAATTTGTTCTATTCCATTTTCCAACCCCTCATCTCCATCTTTTTATTATTTTCTTTTTCTTGACAGATTTAAAACAATGAAGATTAGGTTTTGAATCTGAATGTAGTATAAACTAAAATTATGGTAGTAATATTATAATCAGAAGAAGGAGATGTCTTTTTTGTCAGCCATTCTTTCAAAAAGTTTGAATTTTTACTAGAAATGGTGAAGCAGATTCTGTTGATAGATAAAGTAAAGTTTTAGAGCTCCATCAAATTGGAAGGAAGGAGTAGGTAATTTTAATTTTATCGAGGAAGAGAAAGTTTAAGGTCCGATTGTGATGGCACATATTACTATATTTACTACTTTACTACACCAATTTGTAGAAGCGAGAAGGTTGAAGGAATATCTTTACCCCAGGATTAGTTCATTATTTACTACAGTTACCATCGTATAAAGGCAACGTTTGAGCCACTTTGCAAAGGTCAAATAATCAACTCTTCTTTTGTTCAACTTTGTTTACTAGTCTCTAATATGAAAAGCCACGTTCCTTTGTCACCAAGACTCACTACAAATATATAACCTTGGGAGAAGCCACGTCTGAAATAAATGCTTCCTCCCATATTTTTACTTGTCCAATATTTTAAAAATAGATATTCACATTTACTTGTCATGTTTAGCGTATTAAGAAAAGACAATTTATGCAATATGTACATACAACAAAAGACAATTTAGCATATTAAGAAAAGATAATTATTTGTTACATGTACATACAATTTACTTGTCATGTGAAAGAATGTATATATGCAATATGTATTGGGAAAAAACAAAAATTGAATTTATGAGAGATTTCATGCAAATTTTGAATTTAGATGAACTTGGGGAGGGAAGGGTACCAATGACATTGACTTCGCATAAATGACCTAAATATCCGTATGAATTTACTGTGCTACCCCATTTGGGCCATTGTGGCCAAAATCAGGGGAAAATTTTAAAAATAGCTAGATTTACAAATGGTCGTTCAAAAATAGCCCAATTTCAAAAGTAATCGAAATTTAGCTACTTTTTATGTAAAGATAAATCTGAGCGAAAATACTGTTCAAAATCCGGAAAATACTCTAGTATATTATGCTGGAGTACCAGCATACGTATACTTGAACTCCAGCATATTATACTGGAGTTCCAGGATAGTATGCTGGAACTCCAGCATAATATGATGGAGTTTCAGCATAAATACACTAGAACTCCAGCATAATATACTGAAGTTCCAGCAAGTATAATGCTCCAGTATAATATACTGGAGAATGGAGCACTGGTGTTCCATTCTCTAGTATATTATACTGGAGCCAGCAAAGTATACCGGTCCAGCATAATATGCCGGAGTTCATACACAAGTGTACCGAACTCCAGTATATTATGCTGGACCGGTCTCTATTGCAGCAAAACGGTGGCTATTTTTCATTGACTTGGTAAATGCTGGGTATTTTTGATTGACCAGTCCGAAAATTGGCTATACCGTGCTATTTTTACCAAAATCAGTGGGGGTAGAAATACCTCTTCGTAAAAGAAATATGATTTTGATTGGTAGCTAACTAAGATGTGCAAGCATTATGATTATGTTGTCATTAATATGTGAAAACTGAAAAATTAACTGAGACATTATGAAACTGAATGTCTAAATAGTTCAGCAAACAATCATTTCTATATACGTAAACTAATGTATATAATTCGCATATGCTAAAGTTCTTTTGTTTTTTTTAAATTAAAAAAAATAAAATAAAAAAGCTATCTGCATATACTTATTTTACCGCATTTCACCATTCAATTCTCAAATATTTGCCGGCGATCAAGAATTAAGCACATTCACTGAACAACATCGTGAAGAAAAACACTTTATTATCTATCTATATCTATAATATTTTAATACTTTATTATAAAAGCACGAATATAATGTAGGTTTATCAAAATAGTCTTAAAATATAGCTATAGTATTGGCCATAATTGTAATATTCCCTTTTGTATCCGGTTTGGTTTTCAATTTGGTTTAGGCTTTTTTTTTTCAACAAAAATATATTAATGTAGCCCGTGTGTAGGAAGATTAGTAGGATTCCAACTTACATTACAAAAACTAACGGTATACGAACCTATTCAAGTTTTATAAATATCTTTATGAATTCTATTGATAATTAACAACAAAGAATAACACTCTTGTGCATGCTTGTATTCGAACTGAATTTATTATGAATACATGGCTATTGATCTAATTTTATGATTTGAAAGATTAAATATTTTAAAAAATAGTTCAATATTAGATAATTTGGTAATTAGATAATATTAGATAAAAATAGTAATTAATATTAGATAATATTAACATAACTAAAATAACATGTTTTTTGGACTACATGACCTTCTATTAATTTTTTTAATATTTAAAAATTAAATTTGTCTATTAACTTCTTATTAAAAATATGTAGGAAAGATTAATAAAATCAATTTCATAAAATCCTCCATATTGAAAGTACATTACCACTCCATAATATCCAATACTAAGAGAAAATAATAGTAATATTAAATGGTCAGCATCTATAATATATTTTTATATTATATTTGAACTGTTTTCTTACTCAAATAATATATTTTAATTAATTATTTAAAAATATACCCAATTATTAAACAACAACTAAGAAAATATTTAAAAATATAAATTTGTGAGAAATAGAAAGAAAAATGGTTGGTAAGCAAACGTAAAGATCTAGAATACATGATCGATTTTTTTACTCCTTGAAAAAAAAATTATGGTGGATAAAATTATAACTAAGATTAAATCTTCAAAACATGAGATGAACTAATATTAAGAATTTGAATCAACATATAATAAACTATTTTTTTTCTAAAGACCAAATAATTAAATCTTTCAATTAATTATTTAGCAAGAGAATGCAATTCAATTATTTTTAAAATTTATCATATGAGTAAAATTATTGTTCAAGTTAAGAAAAATCTTAGGGTACATACATTTATTCTATAGAAAGAGCGTTAGAGATTAAAAAAAATTAGAACACAAAGTAAAAAAAATATTATTATGGTATTAAGAATCAATCAACCATACAAGTGTATGCTAAAGTACAATCAAAGCTGACTCCTAAACAAGAACAAGCTTTCAAGACTATATTATAAAGAGTCGGGTTTTATACGGGATTATCCTTTCTAGATGCCTCCGGCGGAATCGAAAATAATTCTATGTCATGCATTACTTGCAAATGTCAAATCAAGAGGCATGATACTGTTAGCAATAATAACAAATGGTGTACTAACAACGATTTTATTATGAGGCCACTCACTGATATACCTATTCAAACAACTGAAATAACCATCACAAATACATCAAAGCAGAGCAACAATGCTAAATTTATTAGGAAAGCAAAATTGATAATATGTGATGAAGCGCTTATGGCTAAGTATTAAATGATCGAAACAATTGCCCCTGGAGATATATTGAGTAAAAATTGCACGGGGCGCCCTATTTGGTCGCCCCCATTTAACCATACCCATTTTTTTAAAAACTTTGAACTTGTACGCATTTTTTAAATAACTTCAGCCCCCTTTCTCCTTCTCGTTCATTTTTTTCTTCTTCTTCTACTACGGAGAAACAGCAATCCGTAGTTACACTCAGCAAAGGCAAGACTTCCACCATAAAAAGGATAATAATCATTATGCACAAGGAACTGCCAATTTTTTTTAAAAAAAAAATTTATCTACTCCAAATTCAACTCTAATTTAAGAACGTCTTTTCTCCAAATTTATACGTACAGAATTCGTGACTTTCACCAATTCACTGCTGCAGCTTGTACATTAGCAATATTTTCAGGATCAAATACAAGGATAATACACAAATACAATTGTTTTTGCCTGCTTTAGTGCACTAGTTTCTATCAGGTTAACATTATGGTTCTGTGGGAAAAATAATTTGTACACTGCCATTTTTACTGGCATTCTTTCGGTTGAATTATGAGAGTTTAGCTACACCTTACTGTAAAAGATTTATGCAGAGAGAACCAGCAAGCTTACAGCATAACTTAACAAGCCCACTATAATATTTTTTGTTGGGTATTAGTGGATTCTTGAAGCTTAGAAACTAAAATAATGAGTATACTAAAGTAGCTTTCGGTAGCAAGAAACATACCCTACAACATGCTTAAGTTAATCCAAGGTTGAGAAGAGCAAGGCTGCAGAGACTAATAAGCCGAAGAGGCCTGCAACATGCTGAAGTTAATCAAATATAGAACAAAAACTTCAGTTCTAGAGCTGAAGTTTCCCAATTACAATACAAAAACTTCAGCTCTAGAGCTGAAGTTTCCCATTTACAACACAAAAACTTCAGCTCTAGAGCTGAAGTTTCCAGTTACAACACAAAAACTTCAGTTGTAGAGCTGAAGTTCGCTAGTTACAAAACAAAAACTTCAGCTCTAAAGCTGAATTTCAGGCCCGGCTACTAGAATGCTGAAGTTTTGCGTGATTGCCTTTGCTACTTCAGTCCCATGTGCTGAAGTTATGCGAAAAAGTGGGTACGCTTGCAATTTTTTTTTGCAAAGTGGGCACAAGTTAAAATGTGACACAAAAAAGCGGGTATAGATGCAAATCCCCCATATATTGAATACCAGTAAACTATTTGGTAAAAAAACTAATGGCTTGGAAGGTGATTTCTGTCATATACTATCAAAAGTTACAAAATCGACGAAATCAAAGACCATAAAAATTAGCTTTCCAAAATTATATTTATGGCCTCAAATAAAAATTTAACTGACAAGGATAATTTTCGGTATTTTTATATTTTACAATTATAATAAATAAAGCAAAAGGATAAACTTTCTAAATATTAGACTATATTTATCGCAATATATTTTTTTGCACGAACAGTTATATGTTGCACTTTCAAGAGGAATGAATATCAATATCAACCACAAGAGTTCTGCTTATGGCAGAGCAACTAAAGCATTAGAAGGAAACATACACAAAAAAATTATCTACAAAGAAGTATTTGGTAAGATACCATCAAAGTAAATGCTTTTAAACTATAATACGTAATTATCTAACTAACATGACTAAATTGATCATTTCTCTAAGTTCTGATGATATCTTTTTATTTTGAATTCACATATCATGCTAATGTAATATAATATTTTTCAG